CAAACGGAGTCAACACCAATTTCAAGGACTATCAATCACCCCTACCCACGGTCACTGCCCCACTAATCCCCCAGCATTTATTAGCTCTGGACCTTTTAATGATGCTCTATGTCTCCAACTGATTACCCCTAAAGACAATGCGAACACTTATATGAAACCCTATATGTTTACCTCTACAGACCTGGTGATCTGCATTTACTACCTCGCACCTCGAACTGAGCAGTCCTACCTCCCCAAATATATTACTATACAATATGGAGTCATTACAGTGCCCGAAATGCTCAAGGACTTATCCATCGACGAAATCGCTCCAGAGGCACCAAAGGGAGAGGCACGGTCCTGGCCTGGAGTTCAGCTGCAGAAGGTGCTCGAACACATATTCCAAGAGGTGGAACCTGAGCAGCCATTATAGGGATAATCACCCGGAGCATGTCAATGAAGCAGAGGCAATACCTGGCCTCAGCACCAAGGAGGCGGTACGCACTGATACCGCGGGAAAATCAAAAAGAGCACCCAGAGAAGAGGACACCGCACCTAAAAGAAGGAGAGAAGAAGCTGCTGGGAGCTCGAAACAAAGTCCGACCAGGAAGAAAATTTCATCAGGCCGGCAGGCAGCGGGGTCGGGGGGTGGAACCCCCACACAAGACGAATTAGCCCCAGATCCCAGAGAAAGTGCAAAACCAGCAGCTCAGAAGCGGGCGGAAGGCCCGATAAAGTCCGATCAAACAGTCCGCGTCGAAGAAAAACAGGAGAGTGACAGCGAGAGTAGTGGCCGTTCCTCCAGTGGCAAGGGGGCGAAGTTGGCTAGCCTGCCGGAACTTATGGAGCATCTCTCGGACAGTAGCGACGAGGAGGAGGAGTGGGGTCGTCAATCATCCACGGGAAGTGTGCTGCCTGGAGCACTCGATTATGACTCAAGAAAACTACCACTGTTTGGACCCCTCTCACTCCACGCGGTGGTCAACAACCACTGCGTGGAAATCATCGAAAAAACATGGCAGGAAACATTTAACAAAAAGGGCCAGCTACGTCGCCGACTCACCTTCAACAGACACTATACCCTCAAAGGCATCAACGGAGAGGGTTTAAAAAGATTCAAAGCTATGACGGAACGAGGAGAACTTTAATCAGGAGAGACCTTTTTCTAAACTTTTACTTTATGTATAATGTGTGCCTTTAGATTTCATAGCAGTCCTAGGATAGAGTATGTGCACCTTTATGTGAGTATATTATGCCTACTAGTATAGATATTGTTAATAGGTAGATGGTTAATCATTATCGCCGTTTTTTTGTGTTAAGCTCTATTCTATTCTTATTCTCCTATCCCTTCTACCCTTGCCACTCCTTCGAGGCCTTTCCGAGAAATCTATCACGCTCCCAGCGTACTATCCTCCTACCTTCCACTGCATCTAATTAGCAGTAGCACCTTTTCAAACGCTATTTACTCCAAGTCAACTTTTCTGTCACTCTGTCATTTCTCTGCAGCCTATACCTATAAGCAGTCTATTCTTCCTTCCCTTCCCAGAACTTTCCTATCACTCTTATTCCTTCATACTGCATTCTACCTTGCAGCCTACACTTTCTTTTAGAATTAGTACAACAAACAATATTATGTTACTTAAGATATGCACTTTTACATTATATAGCTGTGATAAACTTTTAGTTACATTTTTTAAAGATTAATAATTGTTTGTAGGAGTTAGAAGGTATTAAGAACATTTTGCGAATGTTGTAATATTAGGTGTTTTATAGTTTTTGATAGAAGTAACGTAGGATTTCAGTTTCAGTAGTCCTCAAATATACGAGGTCGGGGTCAATGTTGGAAGGGAATCGAAGTTGGATATTAAATTGAAGTACAATTTTAATGGTCGTTTTTAGCTTTTATGTCACGTACAGTATTTGGAAAGGTTTTCCTGTTATAGGCAAAATCGAGTTAAGTTTGATGTTAGAATAATTGTGCACCGTTTTCACTTAGCTGCACTCTATTGAAGTAAGATTTTTATGTATAGAGTTTTATATTAGTTAAGGCGTAGCTACTTCGATCCCGGAGTATCGAGCTGGGAAGGGGGCTGTGTGACGAAATGGCACTTTAAGTAGGCCCTCTTACGAGGGTAGAAGAACAACTATTATTCTATTTCCATTTAACCCATTTACCCTCAAACATCCACTCTACTACTCATATCTCTAATGGGCATAAACCCGAGGGAGAGTAGAGGGTTAAATAATCTCTTTTAACTTCACTGACAAATTCCAGACAATGAAAGCCTGTGCCTATTTCTAGTAACCCCTTTCATGCCACACAGCCCTGCTCCCAGCCTCAGGTCATGTAATATTGTAGTATAAGCAAGGGATGGGTTAAAGTATACTATTATAGTCGAAGGGATCTTAAGACAAGGAAGGCTGTGACGAGGTCCGGCCTAATTACACTATTTTCAGCCCTGTTGTTTATATAGGAGAGATTAGTTGCACTCGCTTAGTACAGCTCCTTATGGGAAAGTCATACTAAAATGTATATAATATGTAATAGGCAGAAGTAACTATTTTGCAAACCTGATGTGTTCTCATGCTTTGGAGGATATAGGGGCTTGCTGGAAGGGTATAAATAAGGTAGAATTTTAGCTAAGAAGGCAGTTAGACACTCAGAAGCAGAAAGGAGGAGAACCGAGCCATATCTAAAATAATCGCAGAGACTGAGAAGCCAGGCACCCCAACTTATAGGTACAAGCTATACCATCTCGGGGATGAGGGGGGAGACGGCGGATCTGGAGGCAGCGGCCCAATCTAGTCAACACCTACAGTGAAGCTACACCTTGGTTTGGTATGCAATGTACAGGGAGGAGTCCGCGGGGTACCTGGCTGCAGAGTAAATCTCGCAGTTCAGTTCCCTCGTTGTGTCTCTATAACGAAAACCTGTCATTCCTACTGTTCGGCCTCGGTGTTTGCTAACTGTGTGTTGATGTTGACGTTGGTTGCCACTGTCGCCGGTCATCCTCCCAGTCTCCTCCCTCTGCCGTTATGGGTACGCAGTCTCAATCTCCAAAAAGGGTTAAGCCGGGGTCCAAATAAACTTAGTGAATATTAAGGGAGGCTACACCGTGGTCCAATCGGCAGGTGATGAACAGGGGAGATCGACCATGGGGTATCTGACTGCAGAGTAAATCTCGCGGTATCAGTTCCCTGTCCCTCATACCTGTCATCCCTCCTTGGCCTCGGGGTTTGCTCAGTTGTATATATACCACATAGAATACATAGGGGCATAGTTAGGGAAACGTTACTCAAGCTAAAGCGGGGCGTGTAGCTTACACTCATAGGGTGAGGATGGTGTGCAGAGAGAGGCTTAAGAGGAAACTTGTTTGCAGAGTTGAGCTCGCATATAACAGTTCCCCTTCCTTCTCCCCTGCTTACTCCTTTCTCCGTGGTGTTTGTTGAACCGCCCCAGCCGATAAAGATTAATTAGAGACTATAGGGACCTTATCTAAATTACACAAGGGTTAAGCTTTCATTCGGGAGTTGGGGTACTATGAACTAATTAATGCAGGGTATAGCTTGTTTACAGAGTAAAGCTCGTATAACAGTCCCCCCTAGCTTCTGGTTCATCTGGTCCCCTCCCCTCTATGTTTATTTCCCAGTCTCAATCAAAGGGATTAGTAAGGATTAGTGACAGTTATATACTGTTTTGGGTCAAGGGTTATATAGTCCACAACATTGGGTGCCTGTGCTCACTCCAGTTCTCTCAGTATGCTTTATCACTTTTCGAACTTAGGATCTTAATGTAGCGGGCACTGCGATGCCCATGAATTAATAAGTTGTATTGAAGATGTTATGTTATTATATGTGTTAGTATATAGCGATGGATATAAAAGTTGGATGTATGCATTACACAAATAAAAGGGAAGCTTTTAGGCTCCAATCTATAGTTGCACCGTAAATCTGGCTCTCAGTACCCTCATTGCAGAGTAATATATCAAGTCGTGTATAGTTCAATAATCTCCGGCCCACTGTTGCTTTACGGACCGCTCGCTACCACGAAAAGGAGAGAGGAAGTGTGTGAGAAGAGAGACATGAGAACGAGGGAACGAGATGGGGCACAGTATTAAAACTAACCCCAGTGACTTTACCACAAAATAAGACCGCCCTCTCATGTCCCAAATCAACATCTTCACCACCCAGTCTCACACATAACCCCCAACCCGTTTTCCGCCACAATATGATGAAGTCTCAACAATAACAAAAACAAAACAAGAATACAAAATGTATTCCACAATGGTTTGTAATAAGCTCCGAAGTGTATTATACAATAAGTCTGGTAAAGTGGACGAACCGATGAAAATGTAAGACCTTTTTTGGGGTCGGATGGAAATTGAATGAACAAATGACATCGAATTACATTACTGGCATCTTTTATAATAAACTGTTATCTCTCATTGACATTGTGTCTATGTCGCGCTATTTTTTGTTATACGGTTGTACACTTTAGATTGTCATGTTGGGCAAACCTGACCGAAAACTTTACTGTGATCAGATTTTAATTGAGATTTCTAAAAAATAAGAATATAACAAGGAGTATTGAACGTTCACCCGGCACGTTACATAATAATAATTTCTTCATGACAAAGAATTCAATTATAGTCCGCGATCATAGATCATTGAAAAGGAGTGTGTGTGTGTATTTGGTTTTTTACAGACGTGTATCAATCAGATATGATTATTTACGTCTGGGGACCGACCTTTAACGTCACCATCCGAAAGACGTGACTCAGTTTCGAACCTGCGTCCTCGGCTGAATCAGTTTGTAACTTCCACTGTTAGCTGGATTACAGGCGCACGCCACAACGCCTAGTTGAGGCACGTTAGAAGCTTTTGTTTCGCGCGTTGATAGTGGGCGGCGTCAAAAGACTGAATTTTCTATAGCGCTAATAAATCCTCGTCTCTGATTGGTCCGTTTCAGCAGCCTGTCATCACGCGGCACCTACCGGGCAAACTCTCGACCAATCACTGACTGAATGAGATTACCGAGTGTGAATGTAATCAAATAAATACAAGGTAAAATACACACTAACACCATTCTGACTCTTGACTGCTAATCGAGGAAGGCGCATTTATCGGTTCAACTTTTGGAAATTACCTTTGTCACTATTTGTACTACGATAAGGTTCTCAGCAATCATAGTTTACCGCAATGCAGATCCCTGTCGAGATACACGAGCCCGACTTCAGCAGGGCCATCGCCTCCGTCATCTGGGCTCGACATCGTCGACAACCAACCTTGAACATCTTTAACTGCCATGTCTCGAACTGTCCCCTCTGCCAGGCTACAAGAGCTCCTGATAGGTCTCCGGTGGAGTGCAAGAGGGCGTCACAAGCGCAGGAGGTGAAGGCCCCTGGAACTGATCAACCCTCAGTCGTCAACTGGTTGATACCGTCGTCGACGCCCACGCCGAGCCTCGAAGCGGTTCGTAAGAGAGCTTCGTCACGGACGCCATCCCCGCCGAGGAACCGAAGCACCCCGTCACCTCCGCCTTCGCCCGATCACCGTTTCAAGTGTCGATCATGTCCCAAGTCGTTCGCCAAGAAGACACATCTTCGCATTCATCGTCGGATTCACAACGGACGCCATGTTTATTGCTGCCAATACTGCCCGATGGTCTTAGCTTGTTCGTCTCAGTTGATCAGGCATCGTCGCGTTCACACCGGAGAGCGGCCGTATCGATGTTCGTTCGACGGATGTAAAAGAGACTTCACATGCCGCAGCAGCCTCAACAGACACTACAAGATGCATTTCCCGGTGGCAGGCTTGAAAGGATAGCCCTTAGCTGACGAGACGTGACCAGACAGTATATCAGAACTCATATTCTTAACTTCAATTGTCGAACTCATGAGGATTATTTCGTGCAATTCAAGTTCTTATTAGATGATGCTCCATGTTTGGGCAGTATATTCAATTTGTTTATGTTTCATGAATCTGAATAAATCCGTTTTCAACTTTAAATACTCTGAGCTTGTTTATTGTGTTTTTTTGTATGTCGTAATTAACACCAAATGAGAGGAAAAGAAGAAAGATGTTGAATGACACCTTAAAAATAAGAACGGTCGATACTTTCGAAAAACCATCTTTATAAATATGGGAACAATACAGTTACGTATTATGATATTGAAAATGACCCTTGCGTTGATGGAAGTGGTTACGACCATGTTACCACAACTAAAGCTGTAGAGTGAAAGTAAATAATTTTACTTTGTGAAAAGCCTTATGTTTATTGTTGAATATAATGTGAAAATACGAATGGAGCGATATTTAAAAAGAGAAAGAAGAGATGGAAAGATAATTGAGAAAGATAGAATAGTTCGCATTACAGAGTGAGATACATATAAAGTAATGTATTACGGGAGGGAAATATGGACATTGAAAAGCAAGAGAGCGCGGGAGAGATGGGGAAAGAAAGATGTGAGATTTAGAAGGGGTATGATAGAACGGCAGGGACATACAAAAGAAAGAGAGAAAAACAGAAATGAGGAAGAGAGAGAGAGAGAGAGAGAGAGAAAGGGTGTCAGACCTACAATAAAAATGTGCTCGCTTCTTAGGTGATGATATTATTATTTAACGCATTTGTTAATTACTTGCTATTCTTGAGAATATTCTACTTCAACAAAATAATAAAAAAAGAAAGAAAAAAATATATATGTGCGTTGGCCGGGAATCGAACCCGGATCAATTGCTTGGAAGGCAACTATGCTAACCATTATACCACCAACGCTTTACACGAAATTGAAGGGAATTTGTTGACCCATGTTCTTGTCTTGTAGCGGGGATTCTGACGTTTCCAGGGTAACGGGAGACTTTTGGCTAGATTAACCCTTTCTTCCCTAACTGTGACTCGGGTAAAAAAAAAAAAAAAGAACATACTGTGGAGTCGATGGCAATTAAGAATAAGGAGGGAGGGGCATGGGAATACAAACACACACAATAAAAACAAACAAAACAGCGAACAAAACCACATATTACTATCAAGGACACTTAAGATATATATTTCTTGGAATATAAATGGTCACATAAGATTAGAAACAGCTGACTGTGAGCTAAAAAAAAAATAAAGAAGAAAAAGGCATATAATATAAGCTTTTCTTATCCATTGTACGTAATACATTATTGTTGAGAAAATAATCTTGTTTAGGGCAATATCATTTTTGTGGCTAAATTATGTATTCTGCTAAATGCTTTCTACCTCTTCTTAAAATCTGTTTATACCAAGCCCACAAAGCTCCTGTTTGCAATGAATTGATGTATTTTGTATATCATTTCATATTGAGGATTCACAACACTATATCGTTATCATTTAAGACTGGACATAATATACCTGTAGTGCCATGTAAATAATCGACAATGGTATCCTAATTCATTACACAATAATACATCTCATGTGTCTATGTGTAAGGCATTAAACGACCATTTACTTGAGTGCAGTTTGGCATAAGTTTATTCTAAGTGTATTAAATGCCACGTCAACAAAGTTGCCACGTAAGCCACGGAAGCCGTCAAATCCCGGTATCCGAGCATCAGCATTAAATACAACAGTATGGGGCAAAACTATACTGACGGTGAAGTTCTTTCCATCTCTCCCTTTTTGTATCTATCTCTCTCTCTCTCTCTCTCTTTGTCTCTCCATCTATAAATTCATTCTCACTCTCCTCATTTCTCTTGCTCTTCTCTTTCAATCTCTCTCTTATTTCTTGTATCAATAACAAAATTAGAAATAACATATATTTATTTATTTATTTAATATAGTTTTATGTTAACAGGGTGGTCTCATTCAAGTTCATTTCTGAACCTGCTCTCCCAGAGAGCCCTGCATTCACATCGAAACATGTACAATAATAACATGAATTCAAAACATACATACAAAGGTAAAATATACATGGTATATACAATAATTAAACATAGGTAACGAAAAACACGCTTTAACAATTATAAGGAAAAAAATACAACTATCAAATTGAGAAAACTAGATGAATGAAATGTCAAATTAACGTGAAAACATGTTTACAAGGGAAACTGACAATTTTAAATGTCAAATTCTAAGTATATTTCCATGGACAGTATTCTTATCCCAGACGATCGACAAAACAGCGAGGGAGAGATATTTAATGAAAGAGAGAGAGAGAGAGAGAGAGAGAGAGAGATGGACAGGGACAACAAAGGGGGGGGGGGGGGGCAGAGAGGGAGATGGCGAAATACATTGCTTTGCAAAGGTTTTGTTGTCGATCGTTTGGGATAAGAATGCTGTCCATATAGGCCTCAGTGAAAATAAACTTAGAATAATATAGATATATGTAAGTTATAATTTTGTTATCAATTTATTGGGATATTCAGTTCAAGGAGCTGTCTGAGTTCAGTGTTTTTAACAACAGCTCTTTAGATTGAAAACAATGTTTTGTTTCTTAATCCGTCTTCCCGCCTCCCTTTAAAAAGGTGTAAACGGTTATCGAGCCATGATTGGTCAAGAGTTCTTCCGTGAAAAGATCAAAGTCCAGTCTATTGTATAAGCCGCTCTCATTATAAACCTTGCGTCTTGCACTGATGACGTAACAAAGAATACGATGACGAAAGAAAGAACTTACCGAAGTACACGCCACCGCCAGTGCAGGATGCGTCTTCAATACCTGTTTCAGTGTTATGAATGGAAACGGTTGAAAAGGACGGTGATATACTCATAGTATACTCATCAAAGGAATCTGCTTTTGTTTATCATCGAAGTCGTGAATTTTGTGGGTACATTTATGTTAGCTACATTGTATAACACATATGAGTTAATTGTTACCAAAAGTGAAAAGATATACAATGAACAAACATGTCTATACGAAATGATATAATCATATACTAAATCACTCAAAAAACAGACAGACAGACAAACAACAAAATAATCATATAAATAATCAACAGACAAATGATAATCTTCTCTTAAAAAGATGGGTGTTAATATGATCATGACATAAATAAAAAATGCACACAAATTGATAGGCCGAGGTTTCACTACATAGAATAACAGTATTATTGGATATCCCTTTCTTGTGTATGTCAGAAACCCCCAATTATAATAATTATTCAATTTGTTTGCATCATTTTATAACAAATTAGTATGGTAGAGAAAAGGTCGTTCAACCCTTTAATAAAACGTTATTCCGCTCAATCCTACAATCAACAGCAATTGTGATCAAAACCTATTGTCGCGTCACTAACTGGGCGTTTTCTCAAGCTGTGATTGGTCGAGAGTTTGTCGGCTGACTAGAAAGTACATTCTATTATGACGCTATTGGTCAGCCACTTTAAATTGACCATTCATTGGTGACGTAACAATGGCATATGATTGATTACAGGTGCCCCGCATCGCGGCTCTCGGTCAAAGGCAGAAACATCATTGAGAATATAATTCAGCGATATACCCATAACAAGAAAAACAGGGAATTGTTTTGCTAAATAAGAGTCTGATTTCTGTTCTTCTTCGTAACCCAAGTTTCTCAAATGAATCGCATTTCAAGCAAATTAATCTCGATGAGAGTTTTTTTCGACGAGCACCACTTAAGATGAGCACAGAATTGCATCACTGAATCTTGATTCATCGATTTTCCTTCACCTATGTTCCAAAAGTTATTTTGGGGGTTATATACTCGATGAATTGTATTTGTTTCAGATTCATGTATTTAATCAATCTTGTTCATTGTGCTTTTTTAGTATTATTTGCGACATGAGAAATAAAATGGAACTGGTTTATCTCTATAACTACACAATTAAGTAAATTGTGCTGGCTCGCAGTTATTTCAAAGATTAATCTAAAGTCTGATTGATATGATGAAGTCTCAAAACAAAAACAAACAATGAAAAAAAAACAAAAAAAAACACATAATTATTCCGCACTTGTTTGTAATAAGCTCCGAAGTGTAATATACAATAAGTCTGGACAATCTGATGAAAATGTAATAGCCTACCTATACTATGATACATAAATATCATTATATTCAGATTACCGGTATAAGATATTGAATAGTAACTTTATTTTGCTCGGATGGAAAATGAATGAACAAATGTCATTGAATGGCATTACTGGCACTTTTATATTAAACTGTTATCTCTCATTGACATTCTGTTTACGTTGCGCTAATTTTTTTTGGGAATACGAGTTTACACTTTAGATTGTCATGTTGGGCAAACCTGACTGAAAAATTTACTGTGATCAGATTTTAATTGAGATTTCTAAAAAAATACGAATATAACAAAGAGTATCGAATGTTCACCCGGCACTTTACATAATAGTTATTCCTTCCAGACAAAGAATTCAATTATAATCCGTGTTCATAGATCGTTGAAAAGGAGAGGCACCTTATAAGCTATTGTTGCGCGCGTTGATAGTGGGCGGCGACAAAAGACTGAAATTTCTATAGCGATAATTAGTCCTCCTCTCTTATTGGTCCGTTTCAACAGCCTTTCATCACGCGGCACCTACTGGGCAAACTCTCGACCAATCACTGCCTGCAATAGATTACCGAGTATGAATGTAATCAAATAAATACAAGGTAAAAGTGACACAAAATACCATTCTGACTCTTGACTGCTAATCGAGGAAGGCATATTTACCGGTTCAACTCTTTGGAAAATCTTTGTAAAATACCTTTGTCACTGTTTGTACTACAATAAGGATCTCACCCATAGCCTACATGGAGTAAGTATTGAATTTGACATTTTTCACCATTCCTTTCATATTTCTAACCCACTAAATATTATAGCGTTTAAAACAGAATGACACAGCTTGACAGGTCAGGATAGTTTTTCGGTGAAACACTTGTCTCATCTAAGTTAAAGCAGGTTTTGTTTTTGATTGAATTTCTTGTTTTTCCTTCAGAGAGTATTGTTTGAAAGCAAAGAAACAACCCTTGTTCTTCTTTTGGTTTAATGGTTAATGAATTTCTCTGCTGACATGACGTGTAATCATATCGTAATTTTCTATTCTCTTTTTTCCCTTTCAGGTCGACTCCTCTCCTCGCCAACCCTCTGCGGGCCACTCCACCCGTATTCTTTCCGGTGCCCGGGAGTGCCGCCATGCCAATCCCTGTCGAGATACACGAACCCGACTTCAACAAGGCCATCGCCTCCGTCATCTGGGCTCGACATCATCGACAAAAAACCTCGAGCATCTTTAACTGCCATGTCTCGAACTGTCCCCTCTGCCAGGTTACAAGAGCTCCTGATAGACCTTCGGTGGAGGGCAAGAGGAGGTCACAACCGCAACAGTTGAAGGCGCCTGGCGCTGATCGACCCTCAGTAGTCAACTGGTTGATACCGACGTCGATGCCCACGCCGAGCTTCGTATCAGATCGTACGAGAGCTTCGTCACGGACGCCATCCCCGACGAGGAAGCGATTCGCCCCGTCACCGCCACCTTCGCCCGATCACCGTTTTCAGTGTCCATCATGCCCCGAGTCGTTCGCCAAGAAGATACATCTTCGCATTCATCGCCGCGTTCATAATGGTCATCCTGTTTACTGCTGCCAGGACTGCCCGATGGTCTTAGCTTGTCCGTCTGACCTGATCAGGCATCGTCGCGTTCACACCGGAGAGCGGCCGTATCGATGTTCGTTCGAGGGATGTGAAAAAGACTTCACACGCCGCAGCAGCCTCAACACACACTACAAGATGCATTTCCCGGTGGCTGACTTGAGTCTGAGAGGATAGCCGCCTAGCTGACAAGTCTGTACTATAGACTATATCAGAACACATACAAATTGCGATGTCTACTACACTACTTCAATTGTCGAACTCATGAGGATCATTTCGTGCAATTCAAGTTCTTATTAGATGATGCTCCATGTATGGGCAGAATATTCAGTGTTTTATGTTGCAATAATCTGAATAAATGCGTTTTTAAATTAAATCACTTTGAGCTTGTTTATCTTGTGTTTTGTCTTATTGTTTGTCGTATTTAACACAAATTGGGAGGAAAAGAAGAAAGATGTCGAAGAATGACACCTTAGAAATAAACACGGTAC